TAAAAGATGTTACGCAACATGGTGGATAGGCCTATTGACACAGCCACAAAAAATAAATAAGTAAATAAAAAAATAAGTAAAAAAAATAAAAAAATAAAAAAGTAAAAAAGAGCAATAAAGACCAAATCATAATTATGAAGAAGACATCTGTTGTGTTAATAAAACCATTTAAATTGTTTGTGAAACAACAATTATGACAACCAACCCGGGAACGAGGAAAGGAACCACGTGAACATTGTAAAAGAATGTTAACAAGTGACGAGTACGAACGCAGCAAACGCGGATACTACCGGTACGCTTAATTAAACTTGGACATCAAAATGTGACGGGTCTTTCATCAATCATTCCATTGATTTACAAAAACAACAACAAAAAACTAGTGTACAAAAATCAAACTTGGCAAAAAGAAAGCTGAGATTTAGGATTTAAAGTGTATTTTGGCAAAAAACCTTTAGCGTAGTAAAAACGTTTATAGGCCAACTCAAAGTAACGAAATAATGCCTGGGAACCGACCAACAATAACAGGCCTAGCACGATTAATTAAAATGAAATGTCAGCGATAAGTATTATAATAAGTCTAGATTGTAAGCTATCCATATATGAATAGGCCTGCTATAAATATAATTAAAATAATAAATAGGCCTATATCGTTTACCGTACCGATGCCATTTCATGTGAAGATCGATAATGAATTTATAATCATGTTCATCTATTACGTTAAAAGATAGTTTTTTATTTTCATTTTACTCTTTCCCATTTTATTGTTTTATATATGCATATTCTATAACCCTATTTGTATATTTTTTCGTTGTGATGTCATTTTGTCTGCCAAGCAAAATACGTTTGTGTATTGTATAAAGAATAAAAGTGTGCAAATGTTGAATTTTAAAGCAATATAATTTATATAGCCTTATAATTATTACCAGAAATATAGACATTTTAAAGAATTATAAAAGCATTTGATATATAAATATATATTAGAAAATATATAGCTATGTCTCATAATAAAAACAAACGAAAATGTAGTGACCAGATGATAAACCCAACAGTATCAACCAACCTTATACTGTGAAAAATTGCACGGGATGTGAGAGTAAATAAAACTCGTGTTAAACTCAAAACCCCAGCATCATGTGTTTTGAAATCAAACTAAGATGTGTTAGAATTATTACTCCTGCTGCCTTATCTATTTGGACGCTCTGTCAGAAGTTCTATTGACACTACCACGGGACGTCTAGACGAAGTTATCAACCGATTGTAAACTCGTACTTAAATGTTGAGACCAGCCATTCATCCAATGATGCAATTGTTAGTTTTAAAATATTTTAGGCAATAATGACTATAATAATGATAATGACGTATTCGTATTCGTTATCGTAAGGTTGCGAAATCTTCGTATTATTTAGCTTAGTTGATGAAATAATAATGATGAAATAATACAATATAAAACAATACAAATAAATGAAACGTACAAAATATAATTAGGCCTATTTACAAAGCGGTTAAGTGAGAAGATGATCGTTATGCGGGATGAAGAGCCTGAATTTTATGAGGACGGAGGCTTTAAATGCATTGAGAGAAGTAAGCTGTCTGACATAAAGAGGAAGATTTTTCATTCATAACGATTAAAATGGGGGATTTTCTTTTTAATTTATCGAATTTAATTACTTGATGTAAGTTAATGAATTAATATGTAGTCCTAACATTAAATTAGTTGTTTTCTGCTGACAATACTATCAATGGTTACGTAGGCCTATACAGGGGTGGCACCAGGATTTGCCCATTATATATATATTTATATATATATATATATATACATTTTAAAAGGCAAATGGGAAAACCCATGAAACAGCAAACGGCCACATAATGCAAAACTATTTAAAATTAAAACGGAAAAGTAGAGAAAATCCGATCAGAGTGATAAAATAAACTAAGCATCCACTGGAAGGAATCCCAATATCTGCAGACGGATCCGTTTCGGCCTTCCAGGCCTCATCAGTGCAGCTAGGGTATAGACCCAATCCAAACGTTCGACCAGCTTAGGTAGGACCCAAACTAGTCCCACGACCACTAATGATTACAGAGCCAAACCAAGGCAATATATATACACAGCCCAGGTGTGAATGCAAATAGTGGAATACAAGCTATGTGGCTCGGTTCCAGTAGATACAGAGAATATTTTGTCATTCTTAACGCGTCCTACGAAATTCTTACGATACAGCACTAGTCCGTGAATTTGTGACAAGATCGGAGATCTAAAGATGCAATCTCTACCGTGCATCAGTGGCGGCCCGCTGGATCTCAATAGAGATTCTTTAATAATACTGTATATAAATTTTAAAAGATATATATATAGGCCTATAGTATAGGTAATTATAATGTTTTGATGGGCTAATATTTTTTTTTCGGGGGGGGGAGTGGGTGTGGGGGGAGTTTATTTTACTGTTTCAGTATATATTGTATGCCTATATGTTGAGAGAAATAAATAAAATGAAAAAGAATTACACATTTGGTATCGAAAAATATTCTGTGCAATTAGGAAAACAAGTGCAAAAGATGTAGTTACAAAAATAATCATACCATCTGGAATATGTAAATTATTCTTGTATTCTTACATTCAACTCGGAAGTATCCGTGTCATCGAATATCAAAGTCTATATTTAATGAAAACAATAAAGGGCGTCTTTTATTCCAGAGTCTCAATACGTCGAACTATCTATGTTAAATATACCACAATGTGAATCTAATTATACTCCTGAAAATACAATATGGGGAAAACAATTCTTTCTATATTATATCGACCTTATATATAAATACAGTATAATAATCAAACTGTAATATCGTAGGCCTAATAATAAAATACGAGAATAAGTAACATAAATACAGACCAGCCAATATAATTTTATATCAAGTTTTTATTTAATATTCAAACAAAATCCCCACCAACTGCATGAAATTAGCGTAATACTAGCATAATATACAAATACATTAAAACGCAATTAGTTATTTATCTCTTTATATGCAGGGTGTCATAATACTAGATTGTGTGTTGAATAAATATTCCACTACGAATAATAAGATTTATGTACGAAAACAGAGAACCCGCACCGTGCTATAACCAGTTAATATAATAAATCTAAACTCATAGAATTAAATAACATATGTATTACATTTGAGCGTTAGGCCTTAAATCGAAAATTGTTAAGTGTAAATCGACAATTAGTTTATAAACCAATGAGTTTAAACTATATCCTCCATGATTAAACTATAGGTACAGGTAGGTACCGATAAAGGATAATTGTGCAACGAAAATCAATCATTGTTCAACGAACATTCGTTCGTTCATCCTAAAGAAATAGTCGTTCATTTAGAAAATGAAAATCCTACAACTGAAATTGATCAACATTTTAGTCTAAACCAATTGCAGATCAACAGAAAAATCTATAATCTGCCAAAAGTCACTCTGTCTAAATCGTGTTAATAGCTGGTACAATAGACACAAAGATTTTATAATAAATTTTCACTTAGAATAATATGAGCACGTATCGGTACGGTACGAAAACAAAGAGCCCACACCCCGCTAAAACAGGCTTACCACAACAATCCAAACTCAACGAATTTATAGACATTATTCCACATTTAGCATTAGTTTATCTATCATTCGAAAATTACTCAATAATCCTTGAATGGAAATCTGTTCAGTCTAAATCAATACCGGTAGTTGTTAAATAGAATGCAAACTATATCGTTCAACGAAAATTGAAAATCGTTAAGTCTAAGTAAATATTCGTTCGACAGTAAACGAAAAATCGTTAAACGAAAATTGGCAATCGTTAATCAATATCAATAATTAATAGACCTCCAATAGTAACAATTAAATAATTGTTCAACGAATATCGGAAACCGTTTAGTTTAAATTAGTGGCCGTTCAACACAAATCAACAACGATTTAGTCTAAATTAATAAATGTTTAATAATAAACGAAAAGCGAAAACCGTCCGGTCTAAATTAATGCCGGCATTAAGTAAAAATAATATTAATAAAATATATAAAACAGTAGAATATTAACGATTTTAAAAGATGTAAACGTAGGTCTACATGATGGTATGGTTTTTTTGACGGATTATCATTATTAACGGTAACTAAAAAATATCTATTTAGTGGAATGTTAATTTGTATATAAAAATAGTTTCTTTTGTTTACAAATTTAAACATGAAACACAAAACCTAATGTTTTATATGGGCAATAATTCAGAAAATTTGCGAAGTCACAATTTCTTTGTATTATATAAAAACATACATCATATATATATATATATATATATATATATAAATAATATGTATACATATATATATATGTATATAGGCGTATGTAGGCGTATATATATATATATATTATATATATATATACTGTAAATAGTCTCTTTCTATAAATTCCACTTTCCATATTGTACAAACAAAAACGATTATACATGTAAGTTGATTTATTAAAATAAATGCGAAAATATAAATAAAAATATTTTACAAAAGAAAATAAATATGTAAAAAAGAACTCTTTTGCAAAAATAATGTCTGAGAGAATGGCGCTATTCTTGAATATACATTAAAAAAAATATATTTTTTTTTTTTGTAAAGACTACGAAGTCAGCACAAGAAGATGACTGATTCAAATGCTGTGTTAACTCCTGTCGTCAATTCAATTCAATGTACAGTAAAATAAATACAAAATATTTGCATATTGCTTTCCTATTAAATGTGGTCGTAACTGAAAGAATTGCCTATTTCTTCCATTGTGGAAATACCAGAAACAAATAGAAGGCACAAAAGTGGGAAATTATTTGCTCCAAAGATGTTATATATTTACTGTATATGTTTGTGAATATTTCAAATTACGATGTTCAAAGGAGCATTTTTTTTTCTATTTGTGCATTTACTCCTATATCCTCAGTACATATACAAGCATAAATTTACTTTCATCATAAATAAATAAATATTTCTAATTTATATTTTGTTGAAATTATTTAATCAACTTGTATTTCAAATGTACAATCTGATTTCAGCATTTTTGCAAGATATTTGTTTAATACACCAGAATAAACAGCCAAAAAGTACAAAATGAGATACATGCAAATGTTTTCATATTCATAAAAAAAGAATTTATGAGATGTTTTCTTTAAGTTTCTATTTCTTTTGTTCCACTTTCTATCTTAAGAATAACAATATAAAATGTAGCAGTTTCTAAAACCTGAATATATGACAAGTAGAAACTAAAGCAACGAGTCTCAGTATCAGAATTAACTTGTGCAACTCTTAGGGTGTCTTAAAAAAAAAAAAAAAAAAAAACTTCAAAGACATTAGTTTTCTGATGATTGTTCTAGCTATCACACAGTACTTCATGGGTGGCCAACCTTTCAAACAAATTAAGATCTCCCAAAATAAAGTGAACCAATACCCTTTCACAAGTAGAAATTCAGTGTCATCAAATGTAAATTAGTTACACCTATCTGTGTTTACATTTCACAAAACACATCTGGTTTAATGACAAACTTTGAATACAGTACCAGAAATTCTCTCCAAAAATTTACAATTTCCGTTGATAAGAATATTACGCAACCATTCAAATGATTTTTAAAAATGTTGGCACTGGAAATTAAGGTGGGAAATGCACATTGCCCATTTTTTTGGTTAGACTGGATTTCAGTCACTAAATTTTGTCTTAATCAGTGGAAACTAACAGGCCCCAACATGACACTTATAATAATAATGCATGCACCTTCATAACTATTATATACAATCAAATACTTAGTAAATACATTACCTTTGTTATAGCAATATATAATTATATTTGCATTGCAGTTTGTATTTCATCCAAACAATATACCACCGATTTTGAACATGTGCAAAATTTGTACTAGGAAAAGTTAATGTGTTTTGACATGGTACATTCAAAGTCTACATCTGATATTTTCTTGTAGAAATTGTATTGTTTTTTTAATGCAAGATAATTCAATGTTGTAATCACATCCAGTTTTGTCATTAGTGGAACTTTTTTAATGACCTGGCCTACATTTCTGATTTTTAAAACTCAAGGCAAAATTTATATAAATATTTAAGTTAAAGTCACATGTCAGCTCTATCAAAGACAAGTTTAATTTTTTTGTCAAATTCATTTCAGTAAAACATAATTTCACAGGATTAATTATATCATAACTACATTTTTCGTAAGTGCAGCCCACCACTACTAACTGATTGAGGTAAACACTTTAAATACTGTTTAAAAAGGTTTTCAAGTAGTACGTTGACAATTGTTGCACTATGCTATCACATGGGTTACATGTTATTTTTTAGTATGTATTGATTTGTTTTATTTACTTGTATACTAATATTTTGAAACCAGATAATTTTTTATTTCAATAATATTAAGAACAATAATAAATTAACTATCAATAAAAAAAAATAAAGTAATTTATTATTCTTATTGTTAGTATAAGTTATTGTAAATGTGGAGCAGCTATCTCTTTGGAGTTATACTGTAGAGTGATTAAGCTGGATGTACCATTGTCTTCTTGTTTTATTTAGTCAAATAAATATCATTAAATATAATACTAATAATACGTTTTCATATTCAATTTTATTTCACTGCAGCATTTATTTTATGTTTTATTCTGACATTGAAAAACTTTATCATTCCATGTTTTGTGCTGAATATTTCCTGTGTGCTGTTTCTTGTTGTGTCTAACATTAATTTGTCTGTTGTTTCTTGAAGTGTGAATACTTGGATAAATGGAATATTTTTTCCTCCATTTTTAATTTTATCTTATATATTCGATAGTAGCAAATTCAAACCAAATTATATATATTTTGTGTGTATTTATTAAAATTAAAAATTTTGTTACATGTTGTCCATTGTGTTCTTTTAAGTTTAAGTGTTACTGTAATATAGTTGTTTCCATTATTTATGGATTCTGCGTTTTCTCTTTTTGTTGATAATAGTGAGTTGTTTCTGATGATAGAGTGGAATAGTATGGGTTATGTGTTGTTTTCTGTTTTTGATACTGTGTTGTTTTCTGTTGTTTATTTAGTGAATCTATTCCCTTTCTATCTTTCCCTTTCCTACATACATCATTATTTCTGGTGTTTGTGCCTAGTGTAAGTGCACATCATTCCTAATTGTCTGGTTCACTCGTATGCTGATACAAGTTGTGTCTAGTATTCTTGACTACCACCTAGGCAGTTGGATTCTTCTTCATCAGATTAATATCAGCCTCCACCATTTCTTTTACTAGTTCCTGCAAAATAAATGATTAAATAATGAGTAAATATATTTTGCCAACTGGATATTCTTATATCCAATTATTGAATATTTTTCATAAGCAAGGCAAATGTACATGTTAAAAATATTATGATTACTGTAATAAAATAACGAATGTAAAAAATTCAAATGTTTCAATTCATTTTTAAGTGAAAACTTTATTAAAAACAGATATGCACTGTCATTACTTTTATAATAAAGATTCGTCTTAGGAATCACATCATAAGCAAGGCAAATGTACATGTTAAAAATATTATGATTACTGTAATAAAATAACGAATGTAAAAAATTCAAATGTTTCAATTCATTTTTAAGTGAAAACTTTATTAAAAACAGATGCACTGTCATTTCTTTTATACTAAAGATTCGTCTTAGGAATCACATATCCATGCAGAATTGATCTATTTGCTAACCCCGCTCCTTGGAGATTGTAGACTGTATATACCACATAACAACAGTGTAAACATACATAAACATATGTGTGTGTGTGTGGGACATGCACACATTGTGGGCACTGTTCTGATTGGTCCATTGTAAACATGTGTGTTTGTGGGACATGAGCACATTAATTGCCCTGTTCTGATTGGTCAATGGTAAACAAATGTGTCTGAGGCACATGTGCACATTCTTGGCCCTGTTCTGATTGGTCCATTGTAAACATGTGTGTTTGTGGGACATGAGCACATTCATGGCCCTGTTCTGATTGGTCAATGGTAAACAAATGTGTCTGAGGCACATGTGCACGTTCCTGACCCTGTTCTGATTGGTCAATTGTAAACACATGTGTTTGTGGGACATGTGCACATTCCTAGCCCTGTTCTGATTGGTCAGTTGTTAACCTTGACTGAAACTCTGAAAGATCCATTATCCAAGAGTAGGTGGTCCTCTACTTTAGTGATTTATTTTTTCTTGAATTATTTTAGTATCTTAATAACTGATTAATATTATTTTTCCCCCTTTTAGTTTATACCACACATAAACTAAATACAGTCCACCACCTGGACTAAATCTCAAATATTCTATTGATGTTTTTATATTGTAAGAGCTGCATTTATATATATTTTTTTCATCTGTAAAGTATCATGCAATTTGACCTTATTGGTCACGATTTCATATTTATTTTAAAAAAAAAGAATAAAAAATAGTCAATCAAATACGGTAACTGAACTGATCATTGTTTAATTTTAAACTAATCTAAAATTCAATTAAAACACAAAATTGCTCCTTTACTGTTCCAGTCAGCTGGAATCCAGATATTGCAACAGTGCAATACCGTACATGATAAGACAATGCAACATTAATAAGACTTTCACCCATACGTGATTATTAACTAACTCTTTATTTATATTATCTAGGATTATTACTAAATAAACCAGTCAGATATGTTAAATTTTTTGTTTTTCATTTTGTTGCTGTTTTTCTTGTCCTTATATTTTATTGTCCTGCACACTTTCAATTTTAAAACCTTGATGTCTCAACTTGCATTATGATATTGTCAATGATTTTAATGTGTTTTGTCTCACCAATTCTGATGTTTAAACCTTAGTTTGAATTTCAATTGTATTTTAAAAATTATCTCAAATCAGTTTTACTGTTGATTATTTAATAAATATACCATTATGAATGAATGAATTAATGAATAAAGAAAAGGGTTAAATTTTAATTTATGTAAGGTGCTGATCAAAGGAATTAAGTATTCATTAATTTCACTAGGAAAGTCCTTAAATTTATTACCAGCAAATTTATGATTCTATACAAAAGTCTATATGAATAGCATACTTTATGTTAATTGATCACAAGTTCTCATTTTCTCATTTCAATGTTCTATACAAAGCTGATAACTTACTTAAATAAACAAAACAAGCCATTAAAGCACAATATTATGCTATTATTGAAGCCAATTACCCAAACACAGACAGTATTTTCAAAGAATAATATATGTATGTCCTATTAGTAGCATATCATAAAATATTACAATACAAAAAATATTATTTTATAATAATATTAATAAAGTATAAATGGTATTTGGTAGTAAGGTTCAATGCCTCACTTCAGCAAGTGGTACTGAATATAAAGATGTAGAGACAGTATTAAACTTTAATGATCCTTTAGAATCATAATTATCTGTAGATGATTTTAGCAACAGTAATGGAACAGGGGGGAAAACAACTGCAAAAAAACATGAAAGTCATATTTCTCACTTTCTTTAATAGAAAAAATTATGTTTTAAATGAAATCTGAAAAAAATAATAATAAAACAATTAATGTTTGTGTAAAATTCAAACTGATTCCACCCCTCCCACCACATCCCACCCCACCACACCCCACATAAAAAAAAAATGAATATAATTCCAGCCTACCTCAAATGAAACCTTTGGCACCCATCCCATAACCTCCTTGGCTTTTGTACTGTCACCAAGTAAAAATTCCTGAAATTAAAAAGAGAAAGGTATTGAAAAAAAGGATTTAGTGATACTGTATTATCTATTTACCTGTAATTATTCAGCCATTTAACTAACCTCTATTTAAATTATCTTTATCTTTGCAGTGACACTGAATTGAGCTAAATATTATAAATGAAATTTTAAAAAACATGATAAATAACTAGTAGGCAGCGAAACTGTTTGCATTTAAAAAAAGCAAGCAACTTTGGCTTTATTTAAAAGGAAATTTAAATCAAATAACTTTCTGAAAAACGATGAAGTTTTGCAATCATGTACTATCATGTTTATTTTTTTTAAAGGCATAATCACTAATGACATGTCAAGAGTAAATAAAATGAAACAAATGAATCTAATTTATTATATCATGTAAATGAAAATGAACAATCAACTGAATCAATCAAGTAAGCAATGTATCAATCAAGTAATACAATAATTATTTAATTAATCAAATCAATAAAATCAAATAATTCAAACCAAATCAAATCCATGAAGTAATCAATCAACCAATCACTAATTAATTAATCAAGTTAATCAAACCAATCAATCAATTATATTTAGTCTAGACAATCGTAGTTTTTTTTTATTCATAAATAAAATCTCAAAAAAACTCTGAACTTTATTTCAAATATATTAACTTTATCAATATTAATTAAAATTAAAGTAAAACTAAGAAATTGTTAAATACTATATTAATTTAATTACTTATCAAGATAAATTAAGTCATCAATATGAACCTGTTTTCTATTTTGATGATCGATGCATTAAAAACATTTAGTTTGAGTCTACATAGATGTGACAGTGTCCCTGTCCAAGTACCCGTTATAATATGTTTTTCTAGCATTAGCTTCCATACATTTGACAAGTGACTTTGACACAACTCGCCAAGAACCAATCACAAACTTATTACGCATCATTCCTTTGGACAGTCACTAAACTCCGTAGAAAAATTTCACAATTATTCTCGCTAAATTACTCCATCAAACTTACGATGCTGGGTTCATTACTGCCTCATATCTTTAATGGAACTCCCACCAGTTGCGAAAACATAAGCCCGGTGATTGGCAGGCCGGTGCCACCCAAAGCAGAAGGGCAACGGACAGTCAATGAACGGGAAACACCGGCTGATAAATGGGACTCGATAACAAATTTCATCATTAAGAAATCCACACCGCTAACATTCAGCTATAAAGTGTACATGTAAAAGCCTTGAGGAAATGTTTTGCGAGGTATCATCGAAAAGATGTCTTGCAAGGAGCAATATTTTAACCTTTGATCTCCTAAAAATATTTAGAATATGTTCAATACATGACCTTTAACCTACTTCAACCCAATTTTATTTTACATATGGGCACAAGTGTGGAGTATGAACAGAAGAATATCAGAATAACCTTCAAATCTTATTGGTTCACAAATTGATTGACATTTTGAATATCTGTGATAAACTCACAAGTTTTACATGTCTGTGTGTTTATTTTTTTAGCAAATATTTGGTCACCAGTGGACTAATGTATGCTATCAAGTAATATAATTCAACAACAAAAATATGAAACTTAGTAATAAAAATTTAAAAATAAACGAGAAAATCAAACTTTATTTCAGCTGTGCCCACAATATAGTATTTTGCATTTCGCACTTGGATATTAACATGTTGTAATTTTACCGAAACCCTGGCCAAATACTATTTGCTATCCGTAAATCATCTTTCTAATATGCGATCCTTGTGCCCATTCAAATTTAATAAGTCCAAATTCTTTTTGGCATATAAAATGCACAATGATTTAATGATTAACACACTACCGCCACTTAGAAAGATTTAACCAAATTGTGACGATTGTGTTGTGCTTTTTCTGCTCAGGGAAAACAGGTTAAACTTACTGCCTAGCTTGGATAATTTTACCAAAGAAAATGTTTTTGCAGGCTGTTTGTACTGGATGCTATTTGAACAAACTGACCAGGTACAGTTGAGTTTTGCAGGAGTTGAACCTATAAATCTGATATTAGAAGCTGAGCTCCTCAACCAATAAACTACAAGTTCACTCTGAAATGACCGTGTCATGTTTTAATCAAAATTTATCTCAATGTAAATTGTTAAATCCATTTCAATTTAATCAATTGGTAAAAAAACTATTTATAATTCTGAAGTGGTCTCAATTTGAAAGTTGATAAATGTAAACCAATTTCCAGCACACTTTGACATCAGATCACAACGACCACCAAGTGCATTGATCAGGCTTTTATATTCAAGCCCATGTACAGTTAAGCTGGCGAGAAAATGATACCAAAGCAATATGAAGATGACACATCTCGCTGCGAAGATGACACCAATAGATAATCAGTTAAATTATCCTCTAGTCACAGGTAGTGAGGTGAGAACATAGATGATACACGAAAGAACATATCAGCATGAACCGAGGATGTGAGGATACATAAACCTGAGTGAATTACTCTGCTGTGTTCGAAGGAGGAAAAAATGTAGATGACAGGCACATGGAATCTTAGCTCAGTCGGCTAATCTGTTAGTAGCCACTGTGTGTGCGCTGAACCGTAGAGATCTCTAGGTCCCTGGTTCAACTCCCATCGCTGCCTCTCCTTGTGTTTCAGTTACAATAGCGCAACGTCTTTCTGATGAGACGTTTAAGCCGTTGGTCCTGTGTGCATTTAAGGCCCATGAATGCAGTACACTATTCCGAAAAGAGTAGGGGATTGTCTCCCGTTGTGCTGCCCAATCATCACCAGGAGGACCCACTGGAAATAATTCATTTTCTAGACTTCCGTTGGCTATCCTTGGTGTTTACACTCAATAAATCCAACCAACCAATAAAAAAAACCAATATCTATTTGCATAGCTAACAAGAACAAAGCCTATCTCTTTGTTTACAATCAACAAATCTAGATGATAGATTACAGTACTTGGTAATTAATATCATAAAGGGAAAAAACATTATTCACAATCTATTATTCCAGTAGGGATGTGCTGGTCTTAAAGTCATAAACATTTTCTTGGGTGGTCTTAGTTGTTATGATTGTCAATAAAACATTTATTTCCACTATCATATTGAATTTAAAAACAGAATAAAAAATATCTTATAAATTGTAAATCAGTTTTACATAGATTTCACCTACATTGGATCTAATTAATAACATATCTCATGACAAAATGTAAATTAATTGAACATTTTTATGGTCGGGAACAGGTAACCAGGTAGTTGACGACAGAACTAATGGTGGCAAAGGTTAGTGCAAGAAATCCTTGCGCATACTTTGTGGTCTAAATATTTGGAGTTATGGTCTGGAAAGTTGTTTATAAATCCAGTCATCTTTTCTACAATGGAGCATTTGTAAGACTTTAATCTTCCATAACAGTACATTACAGTTGTTTCTAGGCCTATCTCTATGGTCTTTAAAAAGTGTATGACTTATACTCTGCACTAGTTATTGCTTTCGACAATAGAGGGTGCTATTCATTATTCAGAGATGTAAATTTCAAACTCTATACGCTCTGTCTAGATTATCAAATTTTCTTTGACAAAAAACTGTTGAATACCCCATATATAGTAATGATGTGCCTATATATGGTCATGATGTGATGTCATCATGACCATATTTGGGCATCTGATAGTCTGGAAAATATGTGTTCGGAGCAAAGCTAAAAATCACTAAAAATAGAAAAAAAAAAATATTAGGAAAGTTATGGGGCAGATCATTAAATTAAGACCTCCATAAATATACATGGAATCTTTTTTTAAATAATAGGTAACATAATTAATGTAAAATTATTATCATTAATTATTCATAATGAAAATGAAAGTTTCAAGTAAAGTAGGCCTAATTATCATCAGAGATGAGAGCAAGTCCTGTTCACTTGTAACTAATGGTACCAGTTCATTTGGCAACAGAAAGTAATCCAGAAAAAAAAGGGGAATTTAATGTTAAATTGTTTGTTCAGATCAAGTCTATGCATTGTCTATACCATGATATATTTTCTCTGAATAATTAACATAATAATTAAAAGTATAAAATTATGTAAATCCACTGACTCATATATCCCCCATGTTACACTGAAGTGCACAGAAGCCCAAGCATGGTGTAATATAACTTTATTATTGATGTTAATGATCTTGTTGAATTAGTATTTATAACGAAAACGAATCCTAAATTGGTGCGTTGCGAAGGTGGAACTATTCGGCACTCAAGGGTCCACGAAGGCTGCATAGCAACCGCAGTTCAACGGACCAATGGAAGAAAAGCTGTGAGGCCTAGCTGTGATTAATCAAAAGAAAATAGGATCAAATTGGCCAACTCTTTATATTTCTGTTCCCAGCTGTCTCCATGCTGGAGATGGATTAGACGATCTATCTCGCCTTTCAAACCAATCCTCTTCTCTTATCTTTTCTAAGAAAGGAGATGAAACATTCACATATTTGTATGTGGCAAGTAATGATGAGTCAGATGGATGGATGATGGGGTTATTGTCCAACAACGTATTGTGCATCTGTTTTACAAATTTGTCAATCCATGAGAAGTTTTAGATCGATGATTTGATCATGAAATTAACAAAAAATGTGCAACACACAGCATGATAAATTCCCTTTTTAAATATCTATAACAATTTGAGTGTTTTGTAATAATTGATATACAGAATCCAATATTTTGATCATTTTCTTTATGAAAAAAAATAGATAATTTTTGAACACATCAAACATGATATTGTATGATTAGGAATACTGACTTTATCAAATATATTTTTAGGGTCTAATGTCAGATTCAGATTACAGTAGCATGAAACAATTTGGTATGAACTGTTAAACTATACCAAGTCTTAGCTTTCAGGATTATTAAGTTTTCTTTGATAAAAAAAACTATTGTATGCCCATATATAGTCATGATATGCCTAAATATGGTCTTGATGTGATATATGTCATCATGACCATATTTAGACATGGCACATGCCTACCTACACTTCCTTTTTCTCATGTTTGGAATGTAATTTCATAAAAC